CGTCAAGATGATCACGGCGAGCTCAACATAACTACAAAAGGATCGCATCACCTTTCTGGATCGGCCCAACCCCCGATAACGGGATATCTCGACTTATTGGTGTTTGAAAATATCGCCGTGTCCGAGTTTCCATGGCCTGATATTGAGGATTACTTCTCTACAGCTTCGGTCGTCAGGGGTTGTCTTTAGTAGGGTGGCGGGGTCTTGCTTCGCATGCGTTATGTAGATGTCGTGAAGCCATATGGCACACCTGGTGGACTGCAACATGATCTCCAAAATCTGAAGATGCGGAAGGGACAAGCCGAGATGAAATCTGGGAGCAGGCTGGAGTCTTGGGCGCCAGGGAGGGGTTTCCATGCACACTCGATGAGGCTTGGCGTTGTCGATAGCGGCAGGCGGAAGACCGACGAGCGAGAAGGCGCTGCATGCGCAGCGTCTGCGGCCACGACAGCAACATCGAAAGCGCATCAACGGCAGCGCATTGAGGAGTGTGTTACAGTCGCAGCCGATTCTCTTGTTGTTTCTCGCTTTCATTACTACTGCTTCGTAAGGCTGAGAGCAGGGTGCCGGACTTTCTTGTTGTTCGGTTAGGCCGTGGCACTTTGACCCGCGGACCTCTTGATGCTGCAACCTTGCGCCTTCTGATGCCCTTCCTGCCTCTATGGCTGCCCTGCGACGGGCTCAGGATATAGACCAGTGGAGACCAGAGGACTCGTCTAGTAGGGACAGAGAGCGATCTAGGGACCGGTCACGGGAGAGGAACAACGAGGGCAGAACATCGTCACCAGTGCCACGAGCTGCCAGAGATTCTCCCAGACACCGCGCACACGACACCCACACGCATTCATCGGCCAGGCACGCACGGGGACGTTCACGCGAAAGAAGTTTGAGCAGAGAGCGCGCGCGTCGGCGCAGTCGCAGCATCTCTGGGGAGGACCGCCATCGAGCTTCGAAGAGGGAAGCCAGCGCAGACAGGGTTGCCCACTCGCATCGGCATCACCACCACCATCGCGACACAACTCCATCGTCGAAACGCCACCACCCGCGTTCTCCATCTCCACGAGGCTCGTCCAAGCGCGTGAAACGGCAGGGCAGTCGCAGCCCAATACGCTCTGCATCGAGGCGACGGCGTGCACTTTCGCCGGACCGGCCTGCTACGAGGGCGTACTCCCCACGAGCTCAGCGTTCCGACCGCGATCGACCGCCTCGACGAACCACGCCCGACACGTATTTCCCGTCTACCTCGACTCGCCGCCGCTCGCCCTCTGCCGATACACACTACAGACCGGTGGCTCATCGTGCACGGAAAAGATCAGTTTCACTCGACAGGAGATCTAGGCGTGGAACACCGCCTCGGAGACTGTCGCCTAGGAGAACTGATCGAAGACCTATTTCACCCTTCGACAACCGCGGTGAACGGTCCTACAAGCCCTATCATACACGCGACAGGGCAAGGAGTCGCAGTCGAGATTCCAGACGTGCTCGATCTCCCTCTCGTCCGCCCCGGAGGCGATCTCCAGGCCCAGTTCGCAGAAATTCGCCGCCCCATACCCACCGAGCCAGACTATCACCGCGCAGAAGTCGTTCGCCCCGCCCGCCCATTCGACGCCGTCCATCCCGCTCGCCCTCTCTCACATCGAGGCCGCGTCAACGCCTGGATAAAGGAACAGACAGGGTCGCCTCACGTCGAGGCTCGCCCGCGCCGGGATCAGGTTACAACTCTGACACGTCCAAAAGTCGGGAAGACCACGGCAAGATGAGGGGAGCGTATCACTACCAGGGACGTGGTGGCTTCCAGCAATCGCCACCGTACCCTGCCCAAAATCAATATTCCCCCCAAAATCAATCGCCATATCATGGCGGCGGTCGAGGCGGTTGGAACGGTCCACCGTATCCTAATCAAGGGTTAGTATCCATCCCATCGGCCTTCGGTCATCCACATGCTGACATCATCAGGTCTCCCACACATGGCTATACCCCAAATCAATCTCCTTACCATCAGAACCAATCTCCAGGTTACTACCCAAACCAACCGTACCCACAACCTGGCTTCCAGAACAGCCCCCATCGCGGAGGACATGGCGGCTACCGCGGCAACAACTTCAACGGCCCCGACCGCCGAATGTCAGGTCCTGGCGCAAACGCTCCGTTTGGCGGTCCAGGCGGACGAGGGCGTGGCGCGCCTACCCAATTCTCCAACTTGTCATGGACGCCAGCGTCGGGCACTCGAGGCGGCCGCCCAGCCACTGAAGCGCCACGCCCACAGCCCGCTGTCGCGTCGCAAACACCTGCCGACTCTGCATCTGTGGATGCTGATGACAACCCCTTTCGCCCATCCAAAGATCTGCGTGTAGAAGACGAGGGCTCCAAAGAGGACAAGAGGATGGCACCTTCAAAGGCACCGACAGCACCCAAGTCAGGATTTGGTTTTTCGTTGAAGACCAAGAATCCAGTGCCACCAGCGAGCAAAGCAAGGCCTGGAGTGGAAGAGCCTGAGAAGCCTGCGCCTGCTTCCAAAGAGTCTCTTCTTGACCCCAAAGCAAAGGCGGCAGCGGCAGCAGCAGCAGCACGTGAAGCTTCCCCACGTCACTCAGAAGCACGAAGCGATCGAGATCGGGACGCGAGGGACAGAGGTTACGACAGTGGCCGCGACCGAGACAACAGGGAACGAGACCGTCGATATGACAACTACTACGATCGAAAACCTGCCTATCGAGACCCTCGCGATAGAGACACCCGAGATCTACGAGACACGCGTGAGCCCTACTATCGCGGCAAAGAGCGAGATTTCCGAGACCCACGAGACAGAGATATGCGAGATCCGAGAGATGCACGAGACCCGCGCGATATCCGTGACCGCGATCCCAGAGATGTGCGCGATCCGAGAGATCGTAGAGAACCATACCCACCCCGACGACCTGACGATAGACGATTCGACCCACGGCCTGACACACGACCAGCGCGAAAGTCACCACCCCCGCAGATACCCAAGACTAAGATCGTTATGAGGAAGCGCATGAAACCTCGGCCTACGCTGGTCCCTGAACATGCAGCTTCAGAGTCTGTATATTACCGGAAGCCCGGTAACGAATCGGTGGTTGGATCCGGCACCTACGGAAAGGTCTTCAAGGGAGTCCATGTCTATACGAAGGATATGGTAGCTCTCAAGAAGATTCGTATGGAGGGCGAACGCGATGGCGTAAGAACACCCAGTGCTAGGCAGTGACATAACGCTAACAACTACCAGTTCCCGGTTACGGCCATTCGTGAGGTCAAACTTCTGCAATCTCTTAATCACGCCAACATCGTTAATCTCCGAGAAGTCATGGTTGAGAAGAACGACTGCTACATGGTCTTCGAATACCTTTCCCACGATCTTACCGGTCTTTTGAACCACCCGACCTTCAAGCTCGAACAAGCACACAAGAAGGACCTGGCCAAACAGCTCTTTGAAGGCCTGGATTACCTCCACCGCCGCGGCGTTTTACATCGAGACATCAAGGCTGCGAATATCCTCGTGTCCAATACCGGTCAATTGAAACTGGCAGATTTCGGTCTTGCACGTTTCTACGCGAAAAGCAGTAAGCTCGATTACACCAACCGGGTCATCACCATCTGGTACCGATCACCGGAGTTGTTACTGGGAGAAACACAGTATGGGCCAGCAGTCGACATCTGGTCGGCTGCCTGTGTGCTAGTCGAGATCTTTACACGGCACGCTATCTTCCCGGGCGATGGCGGCGAGATCAATCAGCTGGACAAGATTTACAACATACTCGGCACGCCCACTGTGCAGGACTGGCCTGGCATTGTCGACATGCAGTGGTTTGAACTGCTACGGCCAACCGAGCGAAAACAGTCGACTTTTGAGGAGAAGTACAAGGACCGCGTTAGTCCTATGGCCTTTGAGCTTCTCCAGGCAATGTTCCTGTTCGATCCCAATGCGCGACCCACCGCCGCCGACGTGCTCGAGCATCCTTTCTTCACGAGCGAAGCCCCGCCACCGAAACGTGCCGACGCGCTGAAGGAGCTGGAGGGTGACTGGCACGAGTTCGAGAGCAAGGCTCTTCGGAAGGAAAAGGAGAAGCAGGACAAGGAGGCGCGGCGTGTTGCGCGGGAAGAGAAGGATACTGCAAGGAAGGACGAGGGTAAAAGACGCGCCGAGGCAAATGCTGGCGAGGAGAGGGACGCGAAGCGAGCGAAGAGCGGTGATGTTACGGCGTAGAATGCTGGAACTTCCCAACCGAAGCCGCGACGGCGCAGCTAATTAGATGGCATAATATTTTGTATGGATAGAGGTATATTCGTTCTTCGCGCGACTTTTGGAATGCAACCACATGTATATTCCATATTCGAAACACTCTATTCTCATATCACGATACCTGTTGCCTGTCTTGAGATCATGTTACCGTCGACGGGTGTGCAATGTCCATGTATGGTACCTCGCCGCCATGGAGGTACACAAATCTGGTGAAACCTCCAGTCATACTAGCTACCATCAGCGCAGCGTGACTGTCCCCCACAGTCTCCCCCCCTACTATAGCCATCTTCAGCCTTGTCTTGGAAATGATCTTGGCCCGCTTGCGAGTGAAGCGCTGATCCATAAGCCACAAATGCTTAAGCCTTCTCCCATATTGGGGATTCCGTAATGCGGTACGCAATTGCCGATCTTTAAGGCTGATTGAACCGTGGCATCTGTCGTCACCACTTATGCTGATACGACCTATAGATCGGCATAGATCTAGTATATGAACTAGGCCTCTGTCGGTGACAAGTTGCGCGCTACCGAGCGAAATGTCCTTCAATCCAGGGTTGATGGAACAGAGTGTAATCACGTCATCGTCATCCAGAGGTCCTGCGTTGCTGCAATGTATCGATACAATGGTCTGTCGAAATGCAGGTGGTGCCGATGCCAACGCCTCAAGATGTGATCTAGCCACGGCCATAATCGTCAGTACCAAGTACATCATTTGTTTAATCATAATAAAGTATGGAATCGCTTACCTTTGCACGCGAAACCCGGGTCCGAAGTGGACTTTCCAAATACCGGTGCGTAACGCGTCTGCATGCCATCGTTGTACCCACTGGTCCCAACTGCCGTAGAATAGAGTACCCTCTGGGTTGCCGAGACTGGGAAAGATTCCGAAATATAAAAGACCACGCCTAGCTTCGGCCTTTTTCATGGCGTTCGTGGGATCCCAATTATTTGACTCATCATCGGATGAGTCGTGCTCATTGACGCATTGCTCGACTTCGACGCTACTTTCGCGTTGGTAGTATTCTTCCTCCTCCTCCTCCTCCTCTCCGCTTCCTTCACTCCCTTCAACTGTCTCATCTCCCGTAGCACTCTCCTCGGAGCCGACCCCATACACTTCTTCGCTGTGTTCTCGTTCGACAATCGCTGCATACTCTGCGGTCCGAGGTATCTTTCGTCCGGTAGCATCGGGGTACTCTGTGTCTTCGTAGTTCCGTTTTAGTGTATTGTTTTCTGGTGCATGGCCATGATGCTGTGCTGGTTCTTGCGGCGCTTGAGTTTGCTTGGGAACATCGCGAGCTAGTGGGTGTGGATAGCAGACTCCGGTCTTCCACTTGTACACTCCAAATCCAGGAATGTTTAGGGAGCAAGCAATGTAGTAACCGTCGGGAGCGTGAAAAGTGTCCGGGATATCACAAGGGTTTGGCTCGCCATCGCAGCACAAGGCATGGGCGGTTTGTAGTTCACCACAGACGGGATGAAGCGAGAATTGGGCCACAAGTAAGTCTCGCGGACTCGAAAGATGAAGAGGGGGATGAATCAAGTGTTCGTTTTCAGGAGGGTGTGGTGTAGACCTTTGCCAGCGGAGCTGCAGGTGGGGGTTTTGAGTGCTCATGTCGCGTTGTGGGCAGCTGGGGGAAGGATAATAGAACGAGGCACGAGAACGGGATTTTGGATGATTTAAACTCCCTTGGTGTAGAGGTCGCTTGATCCTTCAGTCGCTCCCTGAGTTCGATAAGTGTTTCAAAAGCAAACCTTGGAATGCGTCTGGCCTTCGAGATTTCACGGCTCATGGACTCCTCTCGAACAGCTCTCGGCAAGCTTTGTGCCCCTGGTGGCGAAAAGACCCCCGGTGTGCGCGTCGTGCGCGGGTCATGTCTAGAACAGGACTGTCAATCATCGTAACAGAGACATGATGTATTGGGTGGATGAACATCGCGATAGCTGGTCTCATCAACACTGAAAGCGAGATATCGCTGTGATTCTGTCCTGAACCTCGAGTGTCGCAAGGCCGGGTTGATGAGACGCGAGACATCCTGCATGAAGGTTGCCACGCTAGCAGGAAAGCGACTAGCCTGAGTCTCCCCCCACACCTTCCACAGCGCCAACCTCGTATCGTGATAGTAATATCCGAGACCAGTCAATCATGTCGTCCATCAAGGTCCCGGAAATGCTCGCCGTGGGAGGTCTGGGATGGCGTAGCGTCAATGTCAGCTGCAATGGTCGACGTTCGGCTGAAAGCGGCGTAGTGCGGAAGCTCCTTTCCCGTATTTAGGCTTTCCTAGCGGACCCAAGCCCGGGAAATGCCAGACTATCTATGGAACTAGAAGGTTTTTGCTTCTGTCCACGCGTTATCATGATTCTTCGAGACTGCTAAAAAGATTGTCCCGTCGCACACATACCCACCGCTTGCACCCTGCCCCGGTGTGGCTGATTCACATTAAACTCGTTTCCATTACCTCTTTGGGCGTGCGAGCAGCTCGATTGGGGCAACATAATAACGATGGTATCGTGGCGGCCGGAGACGAGATTGGAATGGTTTTTCTTTGGCACTACGACAGTTCAGGCTTTTACGAATATTACGATACAGACGTTCGTATTTCCCCGCATAACTCACCCGCTAGATGGATTGCCTAACAAGCCCTAGAGTCATTCTGGTCACATACTTGAATTGGGTAAACTCGGTTGCATACCAGGTTCCAATATCTTATGTCATCCCTTTGACCTTGTGTGTCAATTCGCTGGGATGTCTCTTCCAGATCATCTTGACACTTGACGCATACCGGATCAAGAACCACATCCAGGTTTTCGTTCAATGCGCCGCCAACATATGCCTTTCAATCTCGACGGTTCTTCAATATGGCGAGACTAGACATGCAGTATCTAGGATCCTCGTCAATCACGACAGGTACGGCACTCCATTCGCAGATGTTGATTGGCCATTCTGGAAGAAGATATCTCCTGGCTTGATGGTCTGTACCGTGGTCACATGTGTCAGCAGTGCCATTATGTGCTGGTTAGCGAGGGGCTTATACCGTGAGTTCTCTTGGGCTTTATATCAGCATGTCAGCCCTGACAAGAAGATACAAACAAAATACGCCGTATACCAGGTAAGACTTGCGTCATCTTCTTTGCCTGACCATACTCACACAAGCACAGATTTACCTCGTGCTTCTCAAGTTTACACCCTACTTCGTTTTCGCGTTCATAATCTTCTACGATTTCATCGACGTCCATTTCCAGGAGCCCGAGTTCTCATTGACGCTCTCAATCATCCCGGCTACTCTTGTACATGTGGCTATCGCGGTATATTTTGTCCGGCATGAGCGTCGCATTGGAATGGCGTTTGTTTTGGTAGGTCACTCAACCTCGAAAGGACTGGCACGCGCTAACATCGCATCTCACAGCTTCTCCATGCCGCAAATATCGCATACCTGATCAGCAGACTCCTCGTTCTCTACGGGCACTCGTTCCTTGCTGATACTCTATTGAAGGATGAGATGGTTTTCTACCTCTGCGTGGGGGTGGTCTTTTCGACGAGTGCTCTCCTGGCCGGCTGCGTTTGCTTCTACAACTTCAAGAAAGGGCTCCGGCCAATCCTGTTGGGCCAGGTGCAACGAAAACCTCGAGCGCACGAGCTTGAGGACGACTATTATGTACAGCGTCTGAACTACAATGTGGTGCCGTTGGCCGACCGCGACTCACAAAGATTCGCGTTGGATTGATAAGTATGATAATCTATAGTATCTAATACAATGACATTGTTTTGCGTATCTAGCCGCGCGCTAAGCCCTGCTTCCCGGCACAATCCCCTTTCGTGTCCGATGTCCACGTATAATTTTCAGATTTGCTCGCAAATTTTCGCAGGCTTCCACGCTCTTGTCTTCCACCAGCTGATCTACAAGCACCAAATTACGAAGACGTTGGGCCTTATCTTCATTTGCAATCAATATCGCGTCGAGGTTACGCAAAGTCACAGCACCGGATCGTCTCGTGAGTAGATCCCCACATACTTCAATGTATTCAATGGCCGGACAGAACTCGATAAGACTCATGATGGATTGGTCACCAATATTTGGAGCCAAATCGATTTGCACCTGTGTTAAATGCGCCATGTTCGCGGCGAGGTTGGTAATAGACTGGTCGTCTAGCAGGGCACCGTTACCCACGCGGATCGCAAGAATAGATGAACTGAATGTTGCTGGTGACCAAGCTAGCATATTGATGTCGGCACTGTTTAGATTTAGTATGCTAATAATAGATTCAATGACAGATGAAGACAACTTACACTGTGACAGCAAAGCTTGGTTCGAAAATGACCATGCGTATGCCTGTGCGACGCTGTGCCCTCTGCCATCGTCGCTCCCAATCCTGAGGACTGCTAAATCTGAGTGTGATAGAACCCGGAAACTCGAGGGGTGAAATGGGTGTGCGTGGGTAATACGTTTTGACAACATTAGAGCGTTCGATGTCGTTCCCGGAGCGTGCTGAATCTTGTGCATGCATTCTACTTTCGCTTTTGACCTGGTTGACTAGCTCATCTTCAGAGTCCTCCATCATGCGGTCGCTCAGTTGCCTCTCGTCTTGAAGATGAGTTCCATTTGCGATGCGCATGTCATGCTCTTCATCGGCAGATGTCGATGTCGGTTCTCTTGGTAAACTCCTCGCTACACTCAGGCGGCTTTCTTGTTTTATCGTTGTTCCTGTGTTCCGTTCCACAGGGGCCCAATATCTGGGTTCTGTACTGGGGATCTCTTGGTCTGCAATCTGTGCAATTCTTTCGGCTTTGATTGAGGGATGCGCCTCTTCCTCATTTTGATATCTTTCATCGTCGTTCTCCTCCTCTTCCCCGCCGGTCTCTTCTTGGGAACAATCTTCTTCATCCGAATGCTCTTCTCCGGTCCCTTCTTCGAGCCCATCTGCTTCTGATTCTTCCTCTTCTAAGATATCTTCCTCTTCCTCGAGTTCATCTGCTTCAGAGTCTCCCTCCTCTGTAGTGTCCTCATAACTACCCAGACGTCTAGTATCAAGATCATCCAGACCTTCATCGCCCGATTCTTCTGCCTCGGAACAGCTCTCTTCTGGTCCAGTTTCTTCTAACCCAGTCTCTTCTGACCCAGGCTCTTCTGTATCACTGTGCGCAGAATCGACTAAAAGTCTAGTCCTGTCTCGCTCTCGTCGATCTTCATCCAGTATGTCATCTTCCTCCTGCTGCCGGTGCTTTTCATCAATCATCTGTCGAATCCGTTGAAGCATTTCATTTTGAAGTTGTATCGCAAGCTGTTTCAAGTCATCCAGCCTCGCTTGCTCTCTGCGCACCAATGCTACCCAGTCTATGCCTACGACATGCCCTCTGCGCCACTTAGTTGCGATATGTTCCGCGCCTGGTATATTGACACCAGCGTTGGACAGCGCCTCAGCTACAGCAGGAGTAAGCGCAATGCTTTGCCGAATCTCTAGTCCGTGTCTTTTTTCGGTGACGCTTCTCATTCGAGCTTCTTCGATGGGTTGATTGTCTAGCCGCAATTCATTCAGCAACGGCCATTCGCGCTGATTTTCCCGCATGTTCATAAAATCAACGAAATAGCCTTTGATACACCCATTTGTGCTAGGCAAGCCGTGAATTCCAACAAACACGACAGATCGACAGTGTTTTAGAATGGCGATAAGTGCCTTGTCTGTCAAATTTGGTGCATATAAGTTGATATCGAGTAGGAGGTGATTCCGTGCAACAATCGCGCGCACGTCGCCGTCTGAGAGATTGCCTTCCCTGTCGCTCAACCAAAGGCGTTTCAGAAAGCCGGTATGAAGCTTTAGCGAAGTCTTCATAGAGCTAATGAAGCTGTGAGTCATGGCTTTCAGACAATGGACTTCTTCGTCGTCTGAACATACCGTAATATCAGAATGTCGCACGTCAGAAAAACATCATACACTCGGCCTCGCAGCAGTTTCTCTCTCTCTTTTCTCCAATGCCATTTATCTGCACTATCACATGCTACGCGCTGGTTCTCAGGTAGTAGTAGCCAATATTTGCGAGTTGCTTCTAACGACATCGTTCGGTGTTGGTAAGTGCGTGGCTTCGAAGGTGTGACGTGGGGGCAGATCAGACAGTGGGGCCCGGTTGTGCTGCTTGTCGCGCGCGAGGATGGAGTCAACTTGGCATCGATAGCAGTTCACTGACATGTAAACCGTGCCGTATCCTCATAGGGAGTTGGTGTTGAGCGACCGGTGACTGTGGACATGTTGAGGTTCCTCGGCCTGCAGGAACGAACCTTCCCGAAACAGCCGGGCCCGTTGGGCGGGGGGTACCGGTAACTAGTATGGGCCCCGAGGATGCCTGGCCGCAACTGAAACCAAAAAGCGTCTGCACACATCGTGCTCTCGGAACACGAAAGAGACAATGTCATTAGCGTTTAATGTGGAATAAGAGGGATCTGCTCGCTCGTATAGAGTTGATAATAGAGCCTGCTGATAAGTCCAGGCTAAACAACGATGATGTCATACTAGCGCTTCCAGGGCGCCATCACCCAATTTGGTCTCAGTTGTAGGCACGCTTGCGCGCTCTCAATACTGAAGTGAAAGCCACCTGAAACACTGAACATGTCTCTTCATTGAAATCGGCTTTGGTCATACACTATCGTCTCTCTTGATTACAGTCCTCATCATAGCATCCTCCTCCTCATCCAATGCATCTCCTCCATGGGTTTCGGCTGCCTCGTAGTTCACTCCGAAGTCATCCTCGACCAAAGGTTCTTCTTTGATGACGCTCTTAGTCAAGGCGCTTCCGTCAGAGCTGCTGCCTGCGTTGGCGTTCCCAGAGGTGTTTTCCATACTTGATGACGCTTCATTGACGTTCGTGCTACTCGTCCTGTCGGCCTGCTTTGCATCTTCTTCGTGACGGAGATCGGAAACTTCCCGTCTTGCGACCTTTCGAGCTGGCCGTGGTGATGATGGAGAGGCCGGGTCTAGAGTCCGCTTTCTAGAACTCTCTGGTTCTTCAGGGATCTTTTCAGCCTCCACCTCAAGTTCTGACTCTGCCTCATACTCAGCCCAAGCTTGAAGCTCAGCCTTACACCGCCGGATAGCGTCCAACCGAGTCTGTTCTAATCGCACCAAATCCGCCATGTCTGGGCCTCTAACCTTGCCGTTTCTCCAGAAAGATATAACGGGCACGATTTGTGATGCTTTAGCAAACTCCTCGGTAATTGCCGTATCTGATAGTTCCTTGTTGGAAGGTGAGATGCCGGCATCCGTGAGCGATTTCACTACTTCGGCGCTGGGCGTCTGCAACTGATCGATATGTAGGTTCGGTCGCTTTTTGAGTAAGCCTCTAATTTGTGCCCTGTCGATTGGCTGATCCCAAAAAGTGATAGTTGTCAATTTCTTCCATTTGTGCATATTTTCCTGCTTGTTCATGTAGGATGCAAAATGGCCTTTGATCCGCCCATTTCCGCCAGAACTGTCACCGCCAGTTGAAATGGATACGATATCTGGACAATGTCCGAGAATATGAATGATTGATTTGTCCGTTAGATTGATGTTCAATAGCATGATTTCGCGTAACCCATTGTTCCGTGAGACCAAGTCAAGGACATCACCATCTGAGATATTGGCTGCGTAATTGGCGATTTCAAGACTTTGTAGCCATCCCGTATGAAGCTTTAATGACCTCATGATGTCACTGATCAAGATGTGAGCGACAGTCTTCAGTATCTATATATATTAATCGTCCCAACTTACCTAGAGATATGCACCTGTTGGCTTAGAGTAACACGAAGGACTCGGCCTCGTAATTTGTCTTTCTCTTTGTCCCAATCGGATTGGTCTTCGCAACAGAGGTACTCATTCTCGGTACAGGGTGACAAATATTGGTCCCTTGACGTCAGCGACATAGTCGGATTCTGATATCTTCGGCGCGCGCGATCGCAAAAGTGCAGCTGAACAGACAGATAACAACGAGTCGCGTCGATTCCTTTGGTATAGTGAAGTGGACGCTCTCAGCATTGAACGCGTAATGCGATTAATACCTGCCTCAGTGTCCTGTTTCGTGTCTCGAAGCAAATCACACGCGTTTCTTTATCGATTGTCGGGCAGCTTGGGTTCCAACGACTGGGTGAGCGTGATATCTTTGAGAGGTGCGCCAAATTTCGCGGCTCTCGGTAAAGGGCAGAACTGAAACAGCCCAAGCCTCGCTAGTTGTGGGGTCGTCTCAAGGCCGAACTCAAGCCGAACCCTACCGACACGATGTTCAGCGACCGTACCTTCTTCGTCACGCGTGTTGAACACGATCTGGATCAGGATGCGGCTTGTCCGAGTTCAAAGCCTCTGTGGCAGCACGCCCATCATTCATTCTCGCGTACTCCGGGAGCGCGGACCTGTGGGCAGCCCGAATGATCGTGGAGATCAGACTTGGCCCCATCTCCTCAACAACACCTGGGCACCATGCCACCTTACATGTATCAGCGTCCTGTCGTAATGACATCACATGTTCGCGCAACTTTGTTAATTCATATGAACGGCGAATTCTGTCCCATATAATACCATCTATCTAGGTACCGTATGTCTCCAATGCATGTGGCCTTCACAGCGGCATCAGGTATCTCGTTATGTACTAGACGCAAGGCAACGAAACAACGTCGATAGCACGACTGCGAACCCAAACAATAAGTCGAATCCCATCAAGGTGCAACGGTGTAAGAGCGAACCAATTACTGTCTGAGTTGGCCAATACATCTACACCCCACCGGCACTTGTCTACCAACAACATGAGAAGAGCTCTAAATCGATAGCAGGTCAGGCCGCCACTTAGTGCACATCCCAGAAACACATTGCAGCCCTCCCTTCTTGTCCGGCTTTGGACAGTTAAGAAGAGGCATCCATTTCACAGGGGTTGGATCTAAGCGGGTCCCGCCACCACTACACTGCACCTGTATTGATAACAGTAAGCGCGTGCACAACCTCGTATAAGACATGGAAGACTTACAATCCAGCCCGAATTACATTCGCAAGAGTAAACCCATGGTTCTGTGCATTTTTCATAACGCTTGGCACAAACTCCTGATCCGGTTTTGAATTCATAAGCATCGATGGATGTGGTGAGGAGTGAAAGCGCGAAGATGGGGGTGAGGGATAGTTTCATGACGGCGTGTGTATCGGGAAGGTAGGTGAGTGCAAAGAGGGATGGATGGTCTCGGAACCGTAAAGAACGAAGTGTCGCTCTTGACGCACCACATTCGACTTACCTTTGGGCACATTTATCATATCTGCGATACGAGCGCCGTTCGCAGACTTCTTTCAAGTATGGCTCCTTACCAAGAACAAGCCCAAAAGGTGTCTAGTGAGATCTGGATTTAGATGCTCGAACAAAGATGTCAGTCTTCTTTTCGTCAGGGCTTACCCTCTCCGGCTCTTATGAACTCGATCTTCAAAGAAGACATCGTTTCAAGTTTGGGTAGCGGTAACGCAAGGTAGTATACGCCACATCTCTATGTTAAGTTCACTGCGCAAAGACTCCTGGATGTAATCACTTCTTCAATTCATGATGTGGTGATCGGACGCTGTACACAGTAAGACCATCCGTTGCAAAGGACTTATCAAGGCCGCGGCGACTCAGCTAAATGGGATCTGCTAGTACTGGCTCACCTCTCTTGATCGATGACTTGCCTTCGCGACAGGAAATTAGACATGACGGGCCCCGTCATGTCCGTTGCTATTGTGAGAAAGACGTTGCGATGAGCCGAATCATTTTATCCAAGAGTCGTCTGTTCTGAAAGACGCAAGTTGTATTTGATACCACATCATTGTGAGACGCGTTGGCAATGAATTGCGGCCGGACAGAAACGAAAAATGTTGGAATGTAAACTCGTCGTGCGTGTGCTCGGTTCGGGGATGCCTATCAAAGACCATCGGTGTTACCGTTGAAGGGAATGCATGCGGATTACATGAAGCTGGAGGGCCGTGTCGCGCTAGCCAAAACGCAAGACGTATGAGAAAGGACGTGCAGGATCAGTACAGACTACCGGACACCTCCATCGATGCGTTCAGTCGGGGTTTGATCGCTCTTTCCCGAATTCTCGTCTAGCTGTGACGTCGCTGCAAGTGCGGGTACGATGTGCAGAACCGAGACCCGCATTAGGAAAATGCTTGAAGCACGGGTGAAGTTCCTGCTGGTGCTTGAACATCTCCTACCAACGTCTCTGGAATCGATAGGTTTGCTATGTTTCTGTTCCAGACTCGACGCAGGTTTGGCGATGCGAACTCCTCCGCTCCTTCGTTGCTTCTTCATCGACAAGGGCGGGGTCATGTGCTAGCGTCAACCATGCCTCAGAGCCGCCGCACGATCTGGAGCTACGTCTTACAACCACCGGCTCTTCGATCATCGCTCACTGATACACTACACTGGTAATGGCCAGGCGTGCACCGGTGTAGCTTCCCCTCCAATGGCGTTCGCTATCATATTGCTCGGTCATGGCCGACGTTTCCGATTGCCTGATGGCGGTCCGGTCCAGCATGCCAGGCAATTCCATTGGCCCACGGCTCTTCCCTCGCGTTGGAAGACGGACTCCCGTTTAGGACTATCGAAAGCTTTGGCGTCATGTAGCGGCCGAAAGAAGCAAGCGAGGTCAAGCGATGGCGCTGTCGACTCGGCGAGGATGCTATAGCGCGGCCCGCCCCCATATATGATCTGCGATCTGCAGCATCGAGATACCCAGCCCTGGTGATCTACCCGCGCCTGGCATCACATCATCCAGTCGTAAGCTGATCCATCATGCAGTCCAATGCCCCGACAAGCGAGAGCGGCAAGGCCAAAATCCCTTTCATCGACTTGCGCTACGAAGGATCGTCATTGCATATGGCAATGCCGGGTCTGATCTCCTAGGCGGTGCTCGTTCAAGCTGAATGTTACGATGGTTACCTCCACCTCTTGAGTCGCCGACACTTGATGAAGAGGTCCCACTTATCTCATGCATGGTTCCAAGTTGCTGCATGTGCCTTTCCAGTAACAGTGCAGCGTATCGAACGGCAGCTGGGATAGCTCCTCCAGTTTGCCAAATGCTCTGAGAACGTTGCGTCATACGTGGGAACATACCTCCAAGCTGCAAGCCACGACCAGCTCGTTGATGCGAGGAGCTGACTATACCGATGGCAGTATTGATGTGCCGCTTGTGATACGCTACCATGGTACGTGGGGCAGGATGCTGGTTGACGGCACTGACAGCATAAGTACCACTTTCCGCTCACTCTCATAGCATATACATCTCAAACATCTTCACATCTCTCTCAATACCTCACATCATCACAATGACAGACACATTCGATACCACCGCCGATATCTCGCCCGAGAGGCTCACTATCATGAAGCTCAAGGCCAGTGGACTTCGCGATGTCTTTTCTGAGCCTTCCTCCCCCACAGGCAACCGATCTTTCTCATTCGCCAGTCAAGCAAATGGTGGCGGCCACAGCTCATCACTGACACGTCGAACGACTCGTCAGACCAGCTCATCCTCTCGTCGAGCAAGCAGCTTCCTCCAGTCACATCGAAGCAAGATGTCTACAGAGCTCACATCACAAGCTGAGGGCAAATTCTTCGCCTTGATGGACCTCATGTCTACCGCCTCCCGAGAGGCTTCTTCGCTCAAAGAGTCATGGTCTCGTATCATGGCTGAGCGAGACAGTCTCTCCCGTGAGAGGGATGAGCTTCTTATCACCGTCGAGGAGGTGACGGAAGAGATCCAGCGCAAAGAAGCTGAGCACTCACATTATGGTCATGAACACGGTGAGAGGAAGAGGCAGGTGGAGAAGCTCGTTCTTGAGCTTAACGCTGCCCTTACTCAAGTGACCGACCACAAGAAGAAGCTTTCCGATCGCGACCGCGACCTGGAGAACACCCGACATGAGCTACACGAACTTCAAAGCTCAATCACGCTCACTCATGGTGATCACGAGAGGACCAGGGCGGAGCTAGCGGCTGCGTACTCCAGGCTGAAGATCTGTGAAGGCGAACGCGATTCCGCTCGATTCGATTCAGACAAGCACCACAATGAGCTCAGGACACTTCTTCGTGAGCACACTGAGCTCAAGAGCAAGTACAACGAGACTACTTCCAAGTTTGAGTCTACTCGCAAGGAGGTCCTCACTCTTACGGACCGTATCAAGATGTTCGAGCTTGAGCGGGACGAACACCTCCACGAGAAGGATCGTCTGCACGAAGAGTTGAAGCGCGCGAAATCTCGCGTTGACGAGACTACCCGCGAGTACACTGAGCTCACTGAGCGACACGACCGTGTGCAGCGTGAGCTTCACAAGCTCAAGGAGACTGTCCGCATCATTGAGACAGAGCGTGATGACCACGCTCTGACCATTGACAACCTCCGCCGTGAGGTGAAGGCCAAGGCTCAAGGTTGGGAGGAGGCCGA